CCGTCATTTCATCGCTCTTAATAAGACATAAAAAAAATCCCGGTGAAACGGGGTGATCCCAAACTTTTCGAGAATTATTACATTTCCAGATATCACCCTGTAGGTCTTCATGTCGAACAGGTGGAATAACAAGAGAGTACTGATGACGTTTTACTCAATGGAATGAGCTATCAGAATCTTGAAAGAAATTGAAAATTTGTTGATCTAATCCAGAGTTATTACGGTTTGAACATGATAGGAATTTATTTTTGCTTGTCTCACTTTAATTATTATAGTGCCTACTCGAATATTACCTCTCGCAAACTATTAAGCCAAGCATTACCCCTTATGAATCAATATGAATGGACTTAACCATCTATTATATCGTGACAATATGGGATGAAATGAAATAATATAAGATGGAAAACTTGGGAGCAATCTATTCGAGAAATAGGAGGAAGCAGAAGGCGCGGAAAATCCATTCATTCATTAGAACAACCACGCATTGCGTGGGATTTGCGCCATTTTATCCAATCGGAAATTCGCGTCGGATGCAAGCCAAAACAACATTATCTTTTACACTTTTTCCCAGCACACTCGAAACCACGCTTTCAGCACAGTCGTTTCCCCATCAAATTAGCCATGAAGTGGCTGCGTAATAGTGGTTGCAGGCTTGCTGCCACCCACTCCAATATAATTTCATTAAGTTGGTAGTAGCTGTCATGCTGAAAAAGTATGTGGAGTTTCATCTTTAATAATGCAGTTCATTTAGAAAACCCGAGAAATATCTTATATAATAATAATATAATAATAATAGAAATCATTCAAAGGGCTTTAGAAACGCATATTGTTTTTGTTCAAGGAATATATGGTTAATGGGTTGACCTCCTTTTAGCGGACCCAGTATATTTACAGAACAAGTTTCAAAAGCTGAGAGATCTAGGAAAAAAATAGAGTTGCACCAATTGTCAGCAGGGGCAATAACCCTCATCATCCGCTCTTGGTCTATTATAATTGAGAATATTGAGATAACTCGGATGTTTCGAAAACATCCTTGACTCATCTACCTCATACCAATGAACATCACGTGCAAATCTTATTCATTTAAGTCCGATGGCAGCTTTTCCGGGATGTTACGGAATGTTATATCATAAAGTAGCAGTTGTGGTAAGCGCTGAAATATTACTTGCAGGAAAACATATTCAATTTAATCACCGCCAGGTTCATGTAAAAAAGTTATAGTTAATTCCCAGTGCTACAGTATTTTTATTATCCTGCAGTTTTTAATGTATATAATGGCTCTGCGAATATTAGACGAATGAAATACACAAGAATGATAAATAGCATGAGATGATTTTGAAATGAATTTAATGAAACCAATTTATATATTTCAGCATACAACATAATATTACTACAAGTTTGAAAAAAACTGAAATACCACGCTTTTATAGATAGCCAATCTAAGAGGTGGATGATAAGTTTTAGAAAATCCGTGGTTACAATATGTTCGAAATAAGAATAGAGTGAAATGAATACATAACATAAAGAATATTAGCACGTACGTGATCAATAGTGAGTGAGTGCATTTTTGAATGAATTTTCATTTGAAAAAACAATATTCTCTGGTAGCAGTCCATCATTTCTCAAAGTGAAGAAAAGTAGTAAATACTACATATGATCATCATCATCAGCCTCATTGAGCAGAGCGACTGAACTATTTCACTTATCGTCAGTTGTTTTTATAGAGCAACGTTTTTATCCAATATTTTCTTCGATAGTATTGATTTGGTTTGTGAAATCAAATGATCGATTGATGGAGAGCAAAATCAGTTCACCACTATCCTTCAATCGGTAGGTCACTAGTTGCACAACTTTTCTTCGAAAAGAACGAAAATTCAGCTCAACGATTTCAATTACTTTACTTATCGCACTTATATAATGAGAGAGAATACAAAATAATGTGTACACATGTATATACAATTTTGTATGAAATTCACTTCACTTCACCAAAGCCGGGTGCTTTCTGTCGTTCGGTACTGATGTCACTAATTCATTAGAGACGATGAGTTCAGTGTTGCTTAAAATCAATTCAAGTGTTCGATTGTCGACATTCACCACGCTGTCATAAGATTTTGAGCCATATATTTCTAGTAAGGAGTCCAAAGAACTAATTATTTGATTATTGTTATTGTTTTTGTCGAAATCAAAATCTATTCCAGTGATACTGGAAATATTGAAATCACCTGATATTACCAGACTCGTATCCTCGGTCAAGTCGTTGCTCATTTCATAAAAAAAGTTCCAAATAGTCCCTAAACTTCTGTGCGTTAGAGTTTGGGACCATATAGGTGCAGTTGAAGATGAATTTATTATACCCATATTACATGCGTTTTTACAAATATGGTCTACAAATACGTATCATAGGTGCATGGACCAGAAACAAACCTTTTGTGTATAGCAATTAGGACTCCCCTCCCTTTTTTCCCAAAAAAAACGCTACATCTGTCTTTTCTGAAAACGTTATAGCTGTTATCAAAAAGTTCCCCGTTATTTATTTCTTCATTCAAACAGGTTTCGGTTAATAGTATACATGGTAATTTTCTTGCAGAGTATTCCTTGAAAATTGATGTGTTTTGGTTCTCAACCCTCTACAGTTTTGGTAATAAACTCTCATATTTAGGAGAAAAATAATGAAAATTAATCTAGAGCGGGAAAAAACAAGAAAAAAAAACAATAACTAATATTATCTCTGGCTCAAAGTCATCAATAGAGGTTTAGTAATCTAATGATCAGTGGTGGGAGATATGTTCGCACATATATATAAACCGGAAATAAAATAATAATGATAATGTCAAGAATGGATAAAACTATAATTTTATTGAGAATATTTGAAATTCTCATTTCATTCAAGAACAGTACAATAACCTAGTCTAGATCATATTCTTAGAATTATTTAGCTTACAGGATATCAGTAGACAATTACGATATTCAAAGGCAATTATAGTTCGGATTTCAATTTTATTATTATTCAAGTAAAGTCGCTGACGGGCAGAAACTGCTGGTTTTGGATTTTTCCTAATCGAGGTGAATGCACTAGTTTTTATGCTGAATCAATTACCACTACCAAAACCAAGATGAAAAAGTATTAGAGAAAAAACCGGCAGTTGTGGTTCGGACAGTGGACCGAAAAGTCTTTTCAAATCTTCTAATAGAAGTAAATCTCAAACTTATTTGCATCATGTCTAAACTTCGTGAGTGGTAGTTCCAATCCTCCAACGAAAAGCGAGCCCTTCTGTAAGTACCTTTTTTGAGTATAACTAGTTTAGTTTTCCTGTTTTGATTCGATTTGAGTTGGATGTATCTTGCTGGATAATTAATGGTCAATGTATTTCATGCCCTAATTGTTCGTTTTCAAAATGAATAAACTTGTGAAGTGGAGTTACATTATTTATTTATCATTTTCCAAAAAACCTCTTGCAAGCGAGTAAGTTCGAGTTGCGATAGTGGGCGTTAGAGCCACTCGTGACATTATGGTGGAGGCGCCGGGCCTATAATGATACTGATATAGGTACCTATAATGTCTCAGTTATTCAGATATTGATGTTTTTTTTGAATTTGGTGACTTTCGACTCGGGTGTTGTACTTTGTTCTCTTTTTCTATTCACTTCTTTCTTCTGTTTTCTAAACAAATAGCATGTTCTACGCTGTGGAGGACCCCATCGATTATTAGTGAATTTCTTGGCTGATTTGCCTTGTTCACGAGCAATTCGTTGATTTTCTATGAGCATATTTTTCTTACAGTATTCTTTTGTAGTATAATCCACGCATATGTAGATTCCCGTATTTCTCAATTTATATGCGTTACAGAGAACTTCTGTTTTGAGTTTGTTCCTGAGAAATTCAACCAATATTGGCGCAGGTTTATCCTAATTCTGCGAATGTCCTAATTTAAATGCATCTCTGAGCTCACTCTTGTTGCATGGAATATTGAGTTTATCTTGAGAAAGTTGTGCAATGTTCTCCAAGGGATTATCACCTTTCAAATTATAAATGATCAGGTTATATTTTTTGTTCATTTTTCTGTGAGGTGAAGTCTTCCTTTCAATACACGATTTTTGTCCTTCAATTCTTCATCTTCCTACCTTCAGTTATCTATTTTATCATTTATTGTTTTCTTAAAATCCTTAAAATCTTCCACAAGTGTATTGATTTGGGATGTGAGATGATTATTTTGTGCGGTTATGCTCGAATTTTGCTTAGTCAGCTCATTGAACATTTTGAGTACAGCTCATTTCCAAATACTTCGATTGAGCTCCCATACAATATAGATTCAATGGTATCGTTATCTCTCTGACGAGTTTGTCTACCACGAGAAGTTTCTAGGTTCTGCTACTTGTCTATACATCATTTTATGAACCACACGGAAAAAAATCAATTTATTATATTGTATTGTAAAAAATAACTAATACCGTGTATAATAAATTTCATGAAATTCATTATCCTGATATAATATCATTCTTGATATTTTTCTGATAGTGAAGAAAAATGCAATATATAATTAATCTTATAATAAAGTATTATAAAATTAATCATCATGCAAACTGGGTAGTAGTTTCTATTATAAAATATAATGTATTGAGCGTCTTATGTTATTTTTATTGTAAAACATATAACCTATTCACGTTGAATAATATTCTATTATACCCTCATAATATACTTTAATATACTCATATAATAAGAAATTGATTTCTATCACAAACATTGTGTAGAGGTTATTATATAATTTAATACATTTTACTACCTAAGGTTATACTGTTAACGCACCCAAATTTTCAGACATCTTAGTTCATATTTTACTATTGGAACGCGTCATTCCGCCTCAAACCTTTGAAAGGGACAGACGTTTTTTTTTATGTGAATACCGCATAACTAGTGCACATATCGTTTTGCTTCGCCGCTGATCGCTGAACTCCTGATCAACAAACTGTTTTACGTTTTCTTGTGTGTAAATTCACTGTTGAATGGAAGTCAAAGATATATTGGAAAGTTTTGGACTTTCCATATTGTCGGAAGCATTCGAATGTAAGTACCTCCTATTCCACAAGAACTTAAAAAATATGACGATCGCCGCGACGCCGCGGCGTTGCTCTGACTGCTAAACGTGCCAGCTTACAGAGACGATGGCCAGTGCCGTATTATTAGATTGTATGTTTTTAAGTGCACTAATAGGTATTTATTTCAGCGCATGATATCGACTTGGAAACATTCAAAAAACTGAACCAGTATCCTGAACTCATCAAAGAAATTATACCAAGTGTGGGAAAAAGAATAAGATTTAGTGAGAGATACAACAATTACATGAAAGAGGTGAGAATTTATTCATGAGTATAGTTATTTGTGGTTTTGTAAGACCTAATTTATAATCAATCATATATATTATATCACAAGATGTGATCGATGGAATTATTTAAATATTTTAGGCGTTATTTTGCCGAGGATATTGCTTGGAAAATAGTCGAATGCACCCTTATTTAATAATAATAATAATGCCTTTATTCATTGAAATTGAAGAAAATACGAAATTCAGTCACCTCTTTCCAATGGAGAAAGGCAACTGCTCTTCCATTCAACGTAGACAAATAATATTCTGAGTAAAATTCTAAGACCACAAAGCTGTCGAGGGTTTTCATTCAAAAATTATTGTGTATAAAGCTAGACATTATTGTCAGAAAGCACAATAATGCAGAACACATTTTGATAGTTTATTCCATTTTAATTTATGTCCCGGGTCGAGTGGTATGTGGCTGGATTATTTCCTGCATAACTTTTCTAACAACAAATAATTTAACTGGCGGTTACACGAGTCATTTCAATTTAACAATTCATCTGAACAGAATTTATGAAAAAAGTTGTGGTAGCTGATTGGTCAATTTCATAATGTGGGAAATAATCAAGTGAAATTTTTAGCTAGGTGAACTAGACTTGATAACAATAGCGTCACCCCAGAGTATTAGTACTGTGACAAACTCATCATTATCTGTGGCCGATCCTGATTTATCATCTATATCTGATGTACCGAGTGATGTACAAGGAGAAGAAATAGATTTCCCTCCAGAGAAGAAAGGTGAGTTATGAGTACAATATTTTGAAATTCACTCAGATCAATTGGAAAAAAAATAATTGAATTGGTTTGTCGACATATTATACCAGGCATTCCTCCGGGAACTGCATCAATCAATTTAATACATAATTATGAGAAATCTGAATGTTTTGGCATGTACAAACTATCATATTTTTTTAAATATGTTATCCAGATGATCCCTATTGAGATACTGCCAGATTTTCCAATTGGTCCTACTTAAAGTTTCCCATATCAAGTCGATGCAGGTTCCGGAGGGATATCTATAGTAGTATTACACCCTTTTTTGCTACCAAAACACAAAGGATAAACGATACTTTTCTAGTGATTTTATAGCTATTTTATATTTGATTTTAAGCGCGATTAGAAGTTGCTGGTGACATCAACATCGATGATAACACTTTGGTAAACATCGATATAGATGAAAATGGATTCCTTCACTTAGGTACCTCTTCGGATAATATATTTCCAGATGTAAGTTACTTAATTATTCTTCAATAAGTTTATTAGTAATATTTGGTTTGACAATAATTACTTATATATACTTCCATTGTAGAGCTTAGAAAGTTACCTTCGGTCGCATACAGAAGGAAATTTGCTTCTACTAAGCAGAAATGAAGTTTTAACACCCCTAAAGAGAAAGAAGTTGATCAGAATTGTCATGGATCACTTATTGCAAAAATTCAAAGAGAAGTATGTGTGAGAGATAATATTTCAATTCATTATCCTCGAATTCACTTAAATTTTATAACCTTCCAATATCTACATTTGTTTCAGAATTCCCCAGACTGTGTTCAACAAAGTCTCACAAGAAATATGTAATGTCTTCAAAATGGAGTCAAAGGATATTTATTTTCGACCCTACCAGAAAGGTATAAAAAAATGCAGTGGAATGTTATGGTCGCGCTATATTAATACTAGAAAAAACTTAGGAATACTAAGGAAGGTGAAAACAAAGACCCAAACAGCATCAGGTTTGTGTTTAGAAAAAATTGTGAAAAAAAATTATCTACATCATTCTTTGTTACTGTTCAAACATTTGTATAGATTGTCTCTTTAGAATTTGATTATATTTTCCAGCACGACACGACACTAACGAAGCCCCAGAACCAGAAAAATTATTCGCATTAGAATATTGCAAACATAATGTGGGCCCTACCGAAGAAGTTACTTTCAATTGGGGAATATGCTTCCATGAAAGGAAAGATATTCTTAAAACTAACTCAAACATTGTCGAGTATTTCAATACCTTTCCCATGTTGAAACATCCTCTTAATGGATACAACTTTCTCATGGACGACTTTAACAAATGTTTTCCAGGCAAAAGTGAAAATTTGTATAAAAACTGGCCACATTTTCGATCGGCAGTCGTCAGTATGATGGAGGAAGAAAAGATGAAGCAAAAATTTGAAGATATAGGTAATACATATTCAGTTATGAGTAGGTATCAATTTGAAATATGATCATATTTAATTTCTTTGTAGATTTAGATGTAATTTTCAATTTTGCCCTCCTTTTCTCACCAACTACCCTTCGGGAGAAGAAAAGCTATCGTCCCAGTAAATTGGAGGTTCAAAACTCATTTATTTTATATGTACCAGTGAGTATTCTGATCTCGACTCTGATGATTTTCAAATTTAGTATTCAAGTACAATATAGATAGTATAGCATTGTTGTATCCAAGATAAATTTTACTGTTTTTTTTCATCAGGCGCTCAAAAAATGAAGTTAGAGGCTTTTAAGAGTTGACTATGAATTTTTTTATTTTCTTGTCAACATAAAATGGCGGCATCTAATCTGAAAATGCATTAAAGATTAAAGTATCATCTCTTTGATTGCTGTTGAAATCATGTCATAATATTTATGTTTTGAAGTTGATTACAAATTCTCAATTTCAGACAATTTTTATTCTCAGATACTTATAGAAGGTATTCAGCAGGTCAAATATGTGTTATTTCATTAAGGAAAGTAGTGGTTCTTAGTTAAATATATACTGAACAGTAATTTTCAATATAATGCAAATTCTCATTTAAAGGTGATATGACTTTTTCAAATAGATAGATAGTATACATACTTCTGAAAATTCAACATATTATTTATATTAGGAATTCACTGTCCTTTGTGTTTTGGTAATGTTCGTCAAAATAAAATAGGACTCTCAACAGCTGTTTTGCTTTTATTCACGCTAGTTGTAGTCTTTTAATTGAGTTAATATATATTTTTTTAATTTTCAGAATGCTGCAGATATAGCAATTCAAATTGAGTCGCGGAAGAATCACAGCAGGGAAAAGAACTTTACTCTGCAACCGTTCATGCTAGTTTCTGGTTTAGATGGAGCATTTTCTTATTTTTGTATCATAAATGACATCCTATACGAAACAGAGAGTGCAGTGAAAACCTTAGATATAACTTACAAGGTAATTTTCGCATTGGATTTGAAATATCAAATCCAATGCAAGCATGTCTGGCAATGTATTGAGAAGGTAATTTATGATATGGATACCGATCAAAGTTGCTCCATAAGCACTGATATCATTGTTAACAGAATTAGACAGAAAATGAGTAAGCTCACTTAGGTTTAAATAGTTTTATACTTTTACAAACAACAAACAATTTGTGTTTTTAGTTAAAGAAGATTTTTTTTATTTGTAACATTTTCATAATGCCTTGTTGTTTTATTTGCCATGAGGAGATAAACTCACTAAAATTACTTATTATGCATTTTAGATTAATACATAAACTTACAGATAACTCTGAATATCTTTGTTCCGAAAAAAATTGTGGTAGATCTTATTTGTCAATCAATTCTTTTAAAAAACATTTCAAGACACACAATGAAAAATCCGATTCTGAATCAACATTGTCTAATACGGAAATTGTTGATAAATCCGAAGGAGGTAATAATCAACTGAATCTTTCGTCCTATGAAAAGGTTGGCAGTGCCAGATATAAAGACAAAAAAATTTTGGATCAGTCTTGTGTTGAAGATTTGGCTGAGGTTGAAAACTTCAACAATCTGATAAAAAATCAAGTTACTGTATTAATTACCAAACTATATAGTAAAATGACTTTACCTAGGATATTGGTACAAGATATTATTAATGATTTTGAGAGTTGTTTTGTTTTACCTCTGGAGGATATCAAAAATAAAATAAATTCTTCTGAGTTCAGCAATGGAAATGAAAAGGTAATGGTCCTTGAAATGTGTAATTCATTGCAAAATATTTTTTCCGAAGTTCCGAATATCTCCGGTTTAAGTTTCTTGAAAAATCTGAAAAATTCCTGCAGCCTGAAGAGGTTACAATAGGACATCATATAAATATTAATAATTCAAATGCTTTGAAAACTAAAGACATTCAGTTTCAATTCATACCTTTGAGACACACTTTAAAATGCTTTTTCCAAATGGAAAAAGTTTTAGATATATGCGTAGAGTACGAAAAAAACCTGCGGCTTGAACAAAATTATTTTTCGAATATTATTCAAGGATCTCTATGGAAATCAAAGAGGCCTAATACTGATGATTTAGTGTTTCCTTTATTAATATATTTTGATGAATTCGAAGTGGGAAATCCTCTAGGTTCTCATTCAGGAATTAATAAATTAGGAGCTGTTTATGCATCTGTACCCCTGATTCCTCTTGAATTTCAGTCGAAATTGAGTAGTATATTTTTGTGCATGCTATTTCATTCAATGGATATTAAAGCTTTCGGAAACACTATTTTATTTTCACGTTTAGTTGATGAACTGAACTTCTTATCAACTGAAGGAATAACTATTGAATTTGGTAATACAAAAACAAAGTTGAAATTTCAGCTCATTTTACTTCAAGGAGATAATCTTGGGTTGCATATGTTATTGGGATTCAGCCAATCCTTCAGCTCTAATTTCTTCTGCAGATTTTGTAGAGTCCACCGAGATGTAAGTCTAAAATCAGCTAAGATTAATGCTGATGAACGACGAACAAAAGAAAACTATGAAGCTGATTTATCTTTGAATAATGTAAGCCTAACTGGAATCAAAGAATCATGTATTTTCAATAACGTGAATAATTATCATATTATGGACAATTCATATTGCGATTTAATGCATGACTTACTAGAAGGAGTCTGTAAATATACTTTTGGACTCATTTTACATGAACTTATTGTTTCAAAAAAGTATATAAGTTTTGATTTATTTAATTTGAAATTCAAATACTTCAATTATGGAGTAGAGTCTAAAAACCAGCCACCATTGATTTCTTTAGATAATATAAAGAATAAACAAATTCGATTATCTGCATCTGAAGTTCTATGTTTAACTAGATATTTTGGTGTAATTTTAGGACCATTTATCCCAAAAAATAATATTTATTGGAAACTGTATCAGTTGCTTCATGAAATAGTTTCTATAAGTACCAGTTTTGAACTTGACAAAGAAATTGTGAATTATTTGGAAAAAAAGATAATTGAACATCATAAGCTTTTTCTCAGATTGAATGATATTCCCCGATTCACCCCGAAATTTCACTTTCTGTTACACCTTCCCTCCATAATATTGCAAACTGGCCCACCCGTACATTTGTGGACTATGAGGTATGAATCGAAACATAAAGAGTTAAAGTCTAATGCTAATGTAGTTAGCTCTAGAACTAACATTTGCAAAACTTTAGCAATTAAATCTCAGTTGAAAGCATGTGAACTGTATATTTCTGGTAGAGGTCTAGAAAGTAAAATATCAACAGGAAAATCTGAGAATTTTCCAGATATAATTGTGAGTAGTATTAAAGAAAGAACCAAAATTTTATTGGTTGAAAATAACTTTTTGATTAACATTTCTCGAGTTCCCTCAGTGACATATCGTGGTGTGAAATTTCAGAAAGGAAACATAATATTAGTATCTGTGAAAGATAACTATAGTCCTATTTTTGGAATGATCGAAGAAATATTTTTCAATGGTAAACAGAACATTGCCTTTATTTTCAAAAATATGCAAACTATTACTTTTGATAGGCATTTAATGTCTTATAAGGTTATGCCATTATCAGATATCAATTTGATTACTACAAACTGTTTACCTTATAGGTATCCTTTACTTTATACGATAATGAATGAATCTGAGAAATATGTAACCTTAAGGTATTCTGCCATTTTGACAAATAAGACAATTTACAGATGTTAGAGTGACTACTTGTATTTGTTTCATATTACTCAAAATATGATGGATTTTTATAATAAATTGTTTCGAAATATATGAAAATTTATTTTATTCATTACACCTTAAACGGTCTTAAAATGTTAAAATAAAATATAGTATAATTTATTATAAAAGTATAATACGTTTTATAACAAAAAGATTATTATATATTATATCACATATTATAAAATTATAATATCATTCAATAAAAAGGATACTAGAACACATTATCTCCAAATAATATAGTTAATGAAATAATATTATAAAACTTATTAGAATAAGTGATGAATTTTAGTATCAAGTATTATTGACGTCATGATACTGTATTAATGAATTTCATTACCCGATATGATTAATTATATAATACATTCATTTTAATACATATCAGAAATTTATAATAACGTTTATTATCCTAAGAACTAGAACTCATTAGAAAATATTCTAGAATTTCATTATAAAATTACTTTAAACCTTATTATCATAGGTAATCGTCCCATATGGAATGATATTTCATTATAATGACTATTATATTTTTAATACCATTTATTATCCATTTTTTTCCGTGCACTAGTCAATAAAGACATAACCATCTCTGATATAATTAACTCGAATTCACTGATTTTATGCGAGATTTGCATGAATGGCACTCTGATGATCAATAACGACTTGTCATATATGCGCTGTCATGATCATGGCTACTAGATTCTAATCAGAATTGAAAAGAAGTGCTTTCATAGTGACTATAGGTCCATACTTCAGTTCCACAGAAGTATAGTGATTTGAATATCCTGATAATGGTGAAAAAATGTAATATACACCTTGATAGTGAAGAATAAATTCACCACGGGACCTTATATCCCTCGGCTGAATCCTCGTGATATAATCTTGGTGTATAAATAACTATTTCTGGGTACTGCCTCAGCCCAAGTTCAAATCTTGACTAATTGATCAAATCTGCTTTTTTAACTCAATTAAAGCTCGATAGGAAAGGTCTAGATAAATGGTCAATGGCTCATATTTATTGGAAATCTACGACGCCTGAACTGCTATCCCAGGAAAACTTTTTTTACGATTATTCGCCCAACTTACAGTTGCACTGTGAATCAGGCAGAGGAGACTATCTAATTCTAATTCGCAGTTTCAACTGTGAATTAGTCAGAAAAAACTTCTTCTCTTCGTATCTCTCAATTTACAATTACAATACACATAGTAAACTGTCGTGGGGGGGGATGATTTTGAGTTTTATTTAGTTATTAATCACAACTGTACTGTAGTACTGAGTTTGGCTATGATAAATAGGAAGAAGACACGTTGACACAATTAGATTTCCGTGTCAATCAATTATTTTTAAAATTACAACCAAGCACTTTCCGAAAGGATAGAGTAGGCGTAAAAACTTATGAAAATGTCATATTCTGATCCAGAATTGTTTCAAAAATTCAAATAGGTTTTAATATATAGGGTGTTGGATACCAGAAGCATCAGAAGTGACCGGGAAGTGAAAAATATTCGAAAACTTTCCTCTTCACATACAATCTCCATATTGAATTTCATTTCGATACACCGAATAGATTCGTTGACAGCTGGTATACCATGAAGTTTCAATCCTAACAAATCTACTTCTTCCTCAGACTCAAGCCTTTGTTTCCACCTAAATATTGTCGCAGCAGGCTCTAGGTAATAATATGCAGTTGGTACACTTGCTGATATACTAGCTCCACTGCGTTCAGTTTTTTTGTCGTGAGATATTGAAAAAGGCATTGAAAACAGAACTATGCATGATTAACCACATTCAATGAACTTTCTTCAAGACCATTTGAATCATTCTTTGGTGCTGGAATGCAACCACCATTTATATGGAAGTTTGAAATCTTCATTCCAATCCCCTCATGCAATTACACCAAATCAACTGATTGGATTGGATTCTCCTCAAGCATAATAGGGATTCATTTTGTGCGCTCCAAAAGATGAAAAATAGACACTGAGTGATGAAACGACTAATTGATACAATATGTTTATTGAATAAGCCATATTATTTGAATACATTATTTGGTGAATAGCAAATTAGAATATAAACGAGTGCATATATGATACTCAAATTAGTAACAATGACAGGCATTATTCAGACAATATCCGTTTGTGTATCCAGAACGGCGACAGAATTGTTCACACTGTAGATTGAAGCAAGTTCCCTTCAAACCTGGAACAAGAAAAAATCATCATAGAGGAAGAATAGACT